TTGCTTAGGAATATCATTGGAGGGTCGTCGCGAGCTACCCTCCACTCTTGTGCTTGTATCACCTTTACCATCCCCTCTTCCCTTTTCGGATCGCCACTGCTTAGGTTGTTCTTTCAATTGGTAGCATTCTGTTTTCCTCCTCCGTAGTTGCTTTTCAACTTTAACTGCAAGCTGAAAAAGTTCACCATAATCAAGATAAGGGGTTCGCTCCACAATATCAGCAATATCGTGGTTCAAGCCTTTCACAAAACGGGCCATCTTGGCTTCTTCATCTTCATCAAGCCTCAATCGAGACATCAAAGTCTCCAATTCTTGTTCGTATTCAGGAACGGTCATTGATCCTTGTAAAAGGCTTTGGAGTCTTTGGTAAAGCTCGCGGTGGTACCATCCTGGCACGAACCGCTTCCTCATAACGACTTTCATCTCACGCCAAGTCACAATGGCTCCCTCCCCATTTCTCCGCCTACTAGCCACTAAATTGTCCCACCAAGTGTTCACGTAGTCCCTAAATTCAACTACGGCTAAACTCACCTTTTTGCGCTCAGAATAGTGATGACAATCAAAAACCCTTTCTACCCGTTTTTCCCAATCTAAGTACGCCTCAGGATCATTTTTACCTTGAAAAGAAGGGATTCGCATTTTAATACCACTTATGTTATTATCTTCCTCTTCATAGTCCCTCCCATTCCTATTTCTCCTTCTACCACAATCACGGTCAGCAGGTTCCTCCTCAAAGTCATCTTCCTCATCCCTCAGGAACTCCCTATGAACCCTCCTACCACCTCTAACGTTACCCCCTTCCCGTACGGGCGCATTTCCTCCTTGGTTTCGGAGTTCTTGGATGGCAGCGTCCTGAAGTTCTAATTTGTCTTTAATTTCATCAAAGACAACATTAAACCTTTGAAATTGTTGTTGCATTGACTTGATCATAGTACTCACATCCTGAGTATCTTCGGGGCTTGTCATTTTTTTTTTAGAAAATAAAAAAAAAACCAGAATAATGCAACCTGCAAAAGACACGTTAAAAAAAAAAAAAAAAAAAAAAAAAAACAAAACACAGACCTCACTTCACTCCCTCACCCACACCCTATTTCTGGTCGCTCAAGATTCACTCGTGTTTAACACTCATAGAATACTCTTTCAATTTCAGCTTGTACTTCCCGCACTCGTAGAGTTATAGCAAGTGCTCAAATTTCACTCCGCAATCATGTACGAGTTAAGCCTCATGGTGTGGCAGAATTTGAAGAGGAAAAATTATGGAGATAGACAAAAAAAACAATGAAAATTCTGGAGTGTTTTCATAGAAAAGGAATAAAAGAATTGCAGCTTGTCCCAATACTTTTCTCTATGCACATAGCATGCAAGGACACGTAGCTTTAATAATGGACACTAATCACATGCACACTTGTTGTGTTCACATGTCAATTGCTGTAGAAAGAACAAATGATTCTCCCAAGAGAATAACAAATTAATTCTAATAAGATGCACGTTTTTTTCCGTTTGTACTTCACATGTCATTCTAATAACAAATGATTTTCCGTTTTTTTTTTTTTTGTTTTGGTAGAGACCACGTATTTTTTTTTTCGTTTTTTTTTTTTCAGCGGATGCTAACCTTGAGTTTTTGTGTTTTCTTTGTTTCTGGGCAGAAGCTATACGTAAACAGGAAAAGAGAAAAAAAAAACCTGGAGTTTGCGTGGTGTTTAACTTGGCTCTGATACCAAAAGATGATATGAATTGCCCCTGGCCGAATTTGTTGTGGTTCGCTTCTGTGGAAAGGAGTGTTTGGTTGGCTATGCGGGAGAGATGGAATTCTCGAATCACACAAGTAAGGAGATTAGGACGAAGCTTAACGTCATGCACTCTCACAGCACAAAACTCACGGCTTCGGATGTAAACTCAATATAACACATGAGTTAGGAAAAGAACAAGCTGTTCTCTCTATTTCATTCATTCATTGATTGCCCTTGTAAAAGGAAATTGGAGGTTTATATATAACCTCTGTACATGAACGTGTGAAAAGTGAAGAAAACTACCTTACAATTTGTGAAGGAGATCATGGCATAGTGGTGTAGCATGAAGCTCATGATCCACACTTCTTGCTATTTTGTAGGAGTATTCCTTTGGCCTTGGAGATTAAGTCTCCTTAATGAATAATTAAAATCTATAATGCTGACTTAGCATAAGTTAAGGAATAGGGCCTCAATTAATACATTTTGACCCACCCAATAAAAAAACAAAAAATAAGAAATAATGAGATCATATCCCATTTGGGCCTAGATGGACTGTTCATTTCTCCATAGCATGGATTGTTTGTTTCTTGTTGCAACATCCTGTCCATTGGGCTTCCCATAAAAAAAAATAATGAGATTATATCTCAAAATGGGCTTCCAAATGCATTTAAGCATGTATCTCCTGGGCTTTAATTATAAGAAAATTAAAGCTTTGGGTTTCTCCTTGACTGACCATGCCCAAGTTGTCTTCCTCATTTGGAGTTAAATAAAAAGGAGTCCAATCCACCGTTGCAAGCCACCCGCAAATAGCTTCTCGCAATCTTGCTGCCCGGGCCCTTGTTAAAGGCCTTTCTTGCACTTGTAAGGGGTCATTTGTTAGCTTTGAAATGCTCGGATCTCCTATGTCCTCATCAGCGAAAGCACCAAATCTACAGCAAATCGGACAAGGAACCCTGATTAAATGGCCTACTTAGCGAAAGAAATATGCAACCTGAAAGATCAAGTGGAGGGTAAAGTCAAGTCATCTAGTCGAGCCTTGCTCACTGATACGGGGTCAACTTTCGGACACTTTCGCCAAGTCTAAAACCCGTCCGGCCTGCCTATAGACCAAGATAGTCAACCGTCTAGCCCGCTGCCGAGCCTACACGAAACGTTAGGGAAACAGATAATAAAACTGAGGAACACACACAGAGTTACGGGCCCAAGCCAACCTTTGTATTGCAACGTAAAACAAGTACAATAGGATTCTCGAGCTCACCCTTCACTCAGACCTCACCCTTCTCAACAACGAAATAGGCTTTGCAAGGTGTTCTATTCATACTAGTCTAGGCGGTTACAAGCCAACCGCATAGCTTTATGAGGGCCAACCACACGCTGGCACCTCACACGCATCACATGCTTCTCACATGCCATAGAACCGCCTCACATGCAGCTCACATGCCTTAGAACCGTTGCCTCAATCGCACAACCGCTCCGCAACTGCCCCAAGGTCTAGCCAGATGTGCACCGTTCCAGCCCCTTGGTCCGCAGCAACTTCCCACCTGATCCGCGGCTTCGCCCGTTCCATGGCATAAGTCCGTGCCAAGGCTGCACGCCTTGCACCGCGCCCACGCCGCTTCACACCGGCATGTCTATCTCGCGTCGCACCCAATCCACTTGGCCTGCGCACCGCATTCCTCGCAACGGCATAGTTGCACCTTCACCGCACCGCCAACTCGCACGAATGCGCCCAAGTCTGGACCGCATCATGCCGTCTCGCAAATTAGCGCGCCACCTAATGCCAATCCGCACCATCTCGGACACCCACTTCTCCAACACGGCCGCAACGCACCTTGTCGCACCAACAAGGCAACAACCGAGTCCACGCACGGCCTAACACTTAGCCGCATCGCACTGGTTAGCCTAACCAGCGCCCTTACCGCACCGGCAAGCGTTGGGACCCAAGCTCGTCGCAACCCGAGCTTTGCAAAGCCCGCACTTAGGCCACAAACAATCTCCGTACCTAGTCCGAGCCACACACCATCATACGTGCTCGTTCAAGCCGACCACCCGCGACTTACCCATCCGGCTAACCACGCCGGCTATCGCTCAAGTCATGCCCACACCATTACTTAGCACGGCAAAACCCTTTGCCAAGCCATTAAACCATGGCTTTTAACCAAAACAAGGCAAAAATAAATAGCTCAAAATTAGGGTCGTAACACTCACCGCCCTACCATTTTCGATAGAGATCATGTCATTTAAAATACCTGGCGATTTCAAAATCTCGGAACAAGCCACCTTCGATGGGACAGGCGACCCTCGCGAACACCTCTTAAGCTACTAGGCAAAAATTCAGGTTTTGGGCGTTAAGGATCTGGTCATGTGTCGCGTTTTTCTGCCGACCCTGAATGGTCCTGCCCAGAGATGGCTCGTTGTCCTTCCTCCGGGATCAATCCGCAACTTTGAGGGTCTAGCCGACCGTTTCATGAGCCATTATGCGGCCAACATCAAGCCTCAGAAGAACGTCACGCACCTCGGAGACATCTACCAAGAGGAGGGGGAGTCACTCAAAACTTACCTGACCCGATGGCAAAAAGAGATCCAAGCTAATAGAGGAAGTAGAGGACCAAACTGCGCTCACGTTTTTCATCGAGTCGCTTCGATCCGGGCAATTGTACCGCGACCTGCGAGACAATTGACCGGCCATGTATACGAAAGCCATCCATATGGCCAATACGGAGCAAGCAATGAAATACAAGCGACAGCGAGAAGTCGGCAGGACTTTCTAGGCCTAAACGAGTAAGAGGTGAGGCAAAGGAGAAGCACCGGGAGGATCGACCAGGTCTCCCGGAGGGGAGATGTTCCTATGACAGAACCAGTGCTCATCCCTACCGGTCGCCTCCCACTTGTTCGGTGCACGAAATTAAGAAAGATGCGTCGCCACCACCATCTCCACCTAGTGGTCACCCTGATGGAACGGATTCTGGCAAATCGGCCAAATATTGTCGCTACCACTCACAACACGGAGGAATGCTTCTACTTAAAGAAAATCATGGAAGATATTACCCCACCTCTGAACCAGTGGCGGAGAAAAGCCGCGTCTCAAGCTAGGGCGAGAGATGACCGCTCTAGGTCAGGCGATCGAGATCGCGGCAAACGGCGGCTTCCGTGGAAGAAGAGTCGCAGTGGAAGTAGAAGCCTGTCATCAACATGATAGTCGGCGGCCCGGAAGGGGGTGACTCGTGAAACACCCGGAAAACCTGGGCTCGACAGTTATACGTTGGGACGATGCATGGCCGAGAGAGCGGAGCAAAGAAGGTGTGTCGAGAGCCAATCACCTTCACGGACAAAGACTTACCCTCTGGCCAGATGCCACATCGGAATGCGCTAGTCATCGCGATGGAGGTAAATGGGGTAGTCATCCGGCGAGTCCTGGTAGACACCGGGAGTAGCGTCAATATCCTATACCTAGAGACCTTCACCAAACTCAGCCTGACCCGAGAACAGCTAGCCTCGGTGAAGACGTCGCTAGCGGGTTTCACAGGGGATTCCATAGAGTCAAAGGGCTCTATCATTTCGCCCGTGGAGATTGGTAGCTATCCAGACGTACGGAAGTTGGATATGAAATTCATTGTGGCCGACTTGGTGTGCTCGCACAACATGATACTTGGGCGACCAGGTTTAGAGAACTTGGGAGCTCTAATCTCTATCGGCACCTATGTCTGAAGTTCCGTACGCCGACAGGGATAGGCGCGGCTCGTTGCGACTAAAGGGCCGCCCGAGAGTGCTATCTACAAGCCTGTCGGCGAATGGGAAAACGTGAGATGCGGCGGGTACACGAAATTACAAAACAAGCCACGAAGAAGGCGATACCCCCTCGACCCGAGCCTAATGCAACCCAAACTACTGAAGATCCATTAAGAGTACCAGTTAGGCCAATCACAAGGTCTAAGTCCAAACAATTAAGACAACTCTTTATTGGTTATGTTCAAAAATGGTGGAAATCCAATTCAAGCCCAATTGCAAATGATGGCGAAGAACTCAAGGCTTTTTATAAATGTTTAAGTGCTGATTTTGGTGATTAAATTAGGCCCAAATCAGCCCTATTATTTTTTGTCATCATTAATTTAAATTGTTTGGCATAAAAGAGAAAACACTAGTTGTATTTAGAAAGGATTCCTTAAATCCTTTTCTAAATAAAACTCTATTTACTTGTTTTCTAGATTAGGTTTAGGACTCTTTTTCCCATTGTATTTAGATTACAATGCTGCCCTATACCTATAAATGGGGCACATCCATATCAGTTTGGAGCAGGCTTTAATTCAATAAAATTCTTAAGTTTTTCTTTACACTTGTGTAAGAAACCTTATCGCTAATTGTGGACTCAATTAGTGGCTAGTCGTGGACTCGACTAGCAAATTGATTCGTGGACTCTAATCAATCTTACTTTCTTCAACTTTAGATTTAGGTTCGTGGACTCGTTCTTGAATCGAAGGAAACTAGATCCGACTCTAGTTGATTGAAGATTGCATCATCGAGGTACTTGAAGCTACAATGGGATTCTTCCAAGTCTTTGAGGATTCGAGACAAATTGATATGAACCTAGTCCAAGGTTCAAATAAAGATGGAATATTGTCCCAAGAATGCTCTCAAAACTAAAGATAGAGATGGATCAAAATACCTTAGACCTCACGAGACACCCTTAGTCTCAAATCCTCAAAGACTTGGAAGAATCCCATTGCAGCTTCAAGTACTTCGATGATGCAAACTTCAATCAACTAGAGTCGGATCTAGTTTCCTTCGATTCAAGAACGAGTCCACGAACCTAAATCTAAGGTTGAAGAAAGGAAGATTGATTCGAGTCCACGAATCAATTTGCTAGTCGAGTCCACGACTAGCCACTAATTGAGTCCACAATTAGCCATAAGGTTTCTTACACATGTGTAAAGAAAAACTTAAGAATTTTATTGAATTAAAGCCTCCCCGAAACTGATATGGATGTGCCCTATTTATAGATATAGGGCAGCATTGTAATCTAAACACAATGGGAAAAAGAGTCCTAAAACTAATCTAGAAAACAAGTAAATAGAGTTTTATTTAGAAAAGGATTTAAGGAATCCTTTCTAAATACAACTAGTGTTTTCCCTTTTATGCCAAACAATTTAAATTAATGATGACCAAAAATAATAGGGCTGATTTGGGCCTAATTTAATCACCAAAATCAGCACTTAAACAATTATAAAAAAGCCTTGAGTTCTTCTTCATATTTTGCAAATAGGTTTGACTTGGATTTCCACCATCTTTGAACATCACCAATGAAGAGTTGCCTTAATTGTTTGGACTTGGGCCTTGTGATTGGCCCAATTAGTACTCTTAATGGATCTTCATATGTTGGGCCGCATCATCCTCCCCTTCTTGAAAATGATTCAACCTCGAATCTTGTAAGCATTGTCTTCGATCCATGATATCACTTGAAATTGACCACCATAATATTTTCCTCTATCGAATGGACTTATTATTGGTCTTTGTTGTTTCTTCCACCAATGATGTTTTAAGGTCGTAGTTACGGGCCTTGTGATGAGCCCACTATTTACCCTTACTGGATTCCATGTGTACTGGTTCCTATTATTCTCCCATTCTTGAAACGGATTCGTCCTCGAATCCAAATCTTCAGTGAAAGACAAAGTAGCAAGCTCACTTTCTGTTTTATCACGCTCATGGAACTTTTTCTTGGGATGCTTGACACGAGTCGCTCCAATCATCATCCTACAATCAACAAGTAAGACAATTAAGTCTAATGACACATCAGGGAATTTAAACATTCTGGATGGTAATAATTCAATAAAATGAGACATATTAAATTTATGCATCTTGTTTGAATTGTCAACAAGCATAAAATCTTTCCTCCTAGAGCTTAAGGTAAAATCAAACAGAAAATTCATGGAAATATCAATTAATGATTTAGATGTATTATGGTGGTAAGTAGCACAATTCTGAACATAAGATTCTACCTCTTTTTTCTTCTTTGGCCAATGAAAATATCCTTGCAAAACATCATCAGTCTTCGGAAAATAAAAATGTCCCTTATGTGAATCAACAATTAAATCATTGTCCAAAACAAAGCAAAAAGTGTCAATCCCATTGAATTTGAACCAAAACCCCTTGAGCAAGTAGTGTTTCACATAAGAAGTTTTCAAATGTGCCTTATAACTTTCCAGTGATTCCTTATCTCTATCAAACAAAGTTTTAGTAAAATCAAAATTAAGGAATCTTGGATGTATGGAGGCAAACAAACTTCTAACACATCTAGCAAGTACGTCATTAATAGAAACATGGCAAAAAAATCTAGAGAATAATAATGCATGCTTTTGGAATAAAAGTGAGTATAAAGTGACTCCCCTTCCTTTCTCTTGCATACTATCCTTTTTAGTTACCAAGAGATGTTGCACTTTGACACCTTGGGCTGGTCCTTTCCGCTGTATCACTGATTGTGGTCCCTATGTTTGGCTACAAACTGAGTTAGAGGATTGGAGTGGTGATTGCAATTCCAAACATGGAGGTTCCACTTTTCTCTCTATGATTTCTTCCTTCTTTGAGGCTGGTTTGAGAGCTTGCATCAATGTCAATTGAATTTCTTCTACTTGTTTAGGATACAAACGAGACAAGAAATATGTAACTCCATTCATGTGAAACACATAAGTGTTCCTCATTCCATCAGAACTTATTTTTCTGTCAAATTGGAATGGTCTACCTAACAAGATATGAGCAGCCTGCATTGGGATATTATCAGACCAGATTTCATCAGAGTAACTGTTAATAGATAAAGGAATAAGATCCTGTTTGGTTACTCTAGCTTCTCCTACATCAATTAACCATTGCAAACAATAAGGATTTGGATGATTAAGCAAAGGTAACTGGGGAAATTGAACCATAGCTGCACTAGCCACATTTGTGCAACTTCTAGAATCTATTACCATAGCACAAGCATTCTCTTTAATTGACCCTTTAGCACAAAATATATTTTCTCTTTGAGACTCATCTTCTTTTAAAGGGTGAACATTCAAAACCTCCTTAACAACAACAGTATGACTAGACTCACTAGCAACGTATTTAGAATCAGAATCTAAAGATATGAATGGTTCTCCCTCAACATTTTCATTGAGAGTTTCAAAATGGTCACATACCTCATCCTTAGACTTATATTCATGACAAGAAGCAAAATTTTCAGATTGTTTTGTTATCTTAACTACCCTCTTGTTAGGGCAATCACGAGCTATGTGGCCTCTCCCATTACATATATAACAAATCAATTCTCTATCATGTTGAGGCCTCACTGCCTCACTTACCTTTTCCTTACCGTTGTCTCGTGAATCATCTCTTGGAGGAGGATTTTCATCACGCCTTTGAAGGGTGGAACAAGTGTTGTTCCATCTTGATGCAATATTGTTGGACTTGTGCATTTTCATCTCTTTAATTTTTGTCTCAGATTCACGTGCAGCATACAAGGCATCATAAAGGGTGTCATATCTCTGAATACTCATTCCACATCGAATTTCTAAGTTCAATCCATGTACAAAACGAGCAACAGTTTTTGTCTCTTCTTCATGTATGTTCCCTGTTTAAGCAAAATATTTATAGTTTGGTGGTACTCATCAACTGACTTTGTTCCTTGCAACGTTCCCTGCAATTTTCTTTCAAGATCATACAAAAAAAATTTAGGACGAAAGGTTAGGCGCATATCTTCCCTCACTTGAACCCAAGATTCATAGGGAATAAAATTAGCAACTCTCTCTCTATTTCTTTTTCGCCACCAAGACAATGCATACCCCTTAAAAGATGTAGCAACTAGCCTAATTTTTGTAAGCTCAGAATTGTGCTTTAAATAAAAAAGAGTTTCAACAGCACTCTCCCATTCTATGTATTCGGTAGGTCCTTTCTCACCGGTAAAGTTAGGAATTTCATTTTTAATGTTTCCTAACTCCGCATTATGCTGCTGGATCCACTCTTCCTGCTGGTGGCAGGTGTCGCTCATCATTGTGTGGTGGTTGCACTTGGTGTGAGCGTTGCTCTAAATTATTCATTCGTTTGAGTAACCTGTCTATCTTTTGTTCTAATGTCTGGGGCAGGTTTAGAACTTGTACAACCATCTGTATAGGAAAAAAAAATTCTAAAAATAAGAAGATGTGTGAGTAGACACGTTAGTGAAACCAAAAATTTGGCTCGCTCCCTCACTATTCTCAGCTCGCAGGTAAGAGGTGGATTATATAGCTCTGGGGGTGCACTACACACTCTTACAAACACACACTCTACTCGTGTATCACTCCAAGTGGCAGATACTCTCACAAGCCTTTTTCCGAAAAGGAAAATTCTAGTCCGATACTCAAGTTGATATGGATTCAACCTCAAAGTTCAAGAAAACGTACCTTGGAAGACTTCACAAGCCTTTGAGAGTAAGGGTGTATCGCGAGATAGGTAACAAAATTGAGAGCAAGAAGCAAAGAAAAAGGACAATACAAGCAAAGAAACTAAATAGGATTTGAAAGAAAAAGGAAACCAAAGAAGGAAGTATGGCAGAAAGATATGCAAAACCAATATCAACAAATAGAGACAAATAGAATCTAAGAGGGGTTTAAGTATACCACACCAAAATAGGAATCTATCAAGAACTCCTTCCAACCTTATACTTTTCCCCTTCCTTTTCCCTCCAAGATTCTCCTACCAACCTTATTCTTTCCCCAACCTTATTCTTCTTCTTCTTTTTCTTTTGCTTTCTCTTTTTTTTATCTTCAAATTTCTTGATTTTTTTGATAAATAACCTCCAAATAACTACTGCAAATATCAACAAAAAATTTTGGACCAAGAGGATCCACACAACCCCTTCAAAACAGAACCCAGAATTTCAAGAATCACCCAGAAAAAAACAGAAACGCTTCCCTTACTTCGAAGATGAATATCTCAATGACCGTAAGGAATTAGCACGTGTATAATATATCAAAAGAACGCCCCAGAAGGGATCTACAACATATAAAAATTTTAGATAAAACTAACCAGTGGATCTCGAGATATAAGTTATTCTTTGAAACTGGTCACAGAACGCGGAAATCTGGACAGGGTGTGATTCAGACGTAATTGCGCGTACATGCGCTTTGGATATAGGTAAGGAAGAGATGGGGTTATTTTCCTAACAGAATTTGTGGTAATATGGTGCTTAGGAGGTGTGAGGTCTCGTTGATATTGGATGGAAAAAAAGGAAAACTCTTTCGGGATTGTTTTTCAAGAAACTGGAGAACATGTTTCAAGATTCAAGAACACAATCAAGAATGCAAAGGAACATTTTTTTGGGGGTTTTTAATGAATAAGACACGAATAAAAGTAGTATGTAAGATAAGAACGAGATAAACCTAGGGAACCAAAGAAACCAAATTTCTAATGATAATGAGATAAACCTAGGCTCTGAATACCAAATTGATATGAACCTAGTCCAAGGTTCAAATAAAGATGGAATATTGTCCCAAGAATGCTCTCAAAACTAAAGATAGAGATGGATCAAAATACCTTAGACCTCACGAGAAACCCTTAGTCTCAAATCCTCAAAGACTTGGAAGAATCCCATTGCAGCTTCAAATACTTCGATGATGCAAACTTCAATCAACTAGAGTCGGATCTAGTTTCCTTCGATTCAAGAACGAGTCCACGAACCTAAATCTAAGGTTGAAGAAAGGAAGATTGATTCGAGTCCACGAATCAATTTGCTAGTCGAGTCCACGACTAGCCACTAATTGAGTCCACAATTAGCCATAAGGTTTCTTACACAAGTGTAAAGAAAAACTTAAGAATTTTATTGAATTAAAGCCTCCCCGAAACTGATATGGATGTGCCCTATTTATAGATATAGGGCAGCATTGTAATCTAAACACAATGGGAAAAAGAGTCCTAAACCTAATCTAGAAAACAAGTAAATAGAGTTTTATTTAGAAAAGGATTTAAGGAATCCTTTCTAAATACAACTAGTGTTTTCTCTTTTATGCCAAACAATTTAAATTAATGATGACCAAAAATAATAGGGCTGATTTGGGCCTAATTTAATCACCAAAATCAGCACTTAAACAATTATAAAAAAAGTCTTGAGTTCTTCTTCATATTTTGCAAATAGGCTTGACTTGGATTTCCACCATATTTGAACATAACCAATGAAGAGTTGCCTTAATTGTTTGGACTTGGGCCTTGTGATTGGCCCAATTAGTAATCTTAATGGATCTTCATATGTTGGGCCGCATCACAAAGGGTTTCTCGTGAGATTTAAGGTATTTTGATCCATCTCTATCTTTGCATTGAGAGTATTCTTGGGACAATATTCCATCTTTATTTGAACCTTGGACTAGGTTCATATCAATTTGGTATTCAGAGCCTAGGTTTATCTCATTATCATTAGAAATTTGGTTTCTTTGGTTCCCTAGGTTTATCTCGTTCTTATCTTACATACTACTTTTATTCGTGTCTTATTCATGAAAACCCCCCAAAAAAAATTTCCTTTGCATTCTTGTTTGTGTTCTTGAATCTTGATATATGTTCTCCAGTTTCTTGAAAGACAATACCGAAAGAGTTTTCCCTTTTTCCCGTCCAATATCAACGATACCTCACACCTCCTAAGCACTATATTACCCCAAATTCAGTCAAGAAAACAACCCCATCTCACCCTTACCTATATCCATAGCGCATTTACGCGCAATCACGTCGTAATCACACCCTGTCCAGATTTCTGCGTTCTATGACCAGTTTCAAAGAATGACCTATATCTCGAGATGTACTCGTTAGATTTATCTGAAATTTTGATATGTTGTAGATCTCATCTGGGGCGTTCTATTGATATATTATAAACTTGCTACTTCCTTACGGTCATTGAGATATTGATCTTCGAAGTAAGGGCAGCGTTTCTGTTTTTCTGGGTGATTCTTGAAATTCTTGATTCTGTTTTGAAGGGGTTGTGTGGATCCTCTTGGTCCAAAATTTTTGTTGATATTTACAGTAGTTATTTGGAGAATACTTATCAAAAAAAATCAAAAAAAGCAAAAAAAAAAAAAAAAAAAAAAAAAAAAGAGAAAGCTAAAGAAGAAGAAGAAGAAGAAGAAGAAGAATAAGGTTGGGGAAAAAATAAGGTTGGTAGGAGAATCTTGGTGGGAAAAGGAAGGGGAAAAGTATATGGTTGGAAGGAGTTCTTGATAGATTCCTATTTAGTTGAGGTATACGTGAACCCCTCTTACGTTCTATTTGTCTCTATCTATTGATATTGGTCTTGCATATCTTTCTGCCATACTTCCTTCTTTGGTTTCCTTTTTCTTTCAAATCTTATTTAGTTTCTTTGCTCGTATTGTCCTTTTTCTTTGCTTCTTGCTCTCAATTTTCTTACCTACCTCACGATACACCCTTACTCTCAAAGGCTTGTGAAGTCTTCCAAGGTACGTTTTCTTGAATTTGAGGTTGAATCCATATCAATTTGAGTACCGGACTAGAATTTTCCTTTTTGGAAAAAGGCTGGTGAGAGTATCTGCCACCTTGAGCGATACACGAGTGGAGTGTGTGTTTGTAAGAGTGTGTAGTGCACCCCCAGAGCTATATAATCCACCTCTTACCTGAGAGTTGAGAATAGTGAGGGAGCGAGCCAACTTTTTGGTTTCACTAACGTGTCTACTCACACATCTTTTTGTTTAGAATTTTTTTTTCCACTACAGATGGATGAACAAGTTCCAAACCCACCCCAGACATTGGAAGAAAAAATAGATGCTCTAACCTTCGCCATGGACGGGTTACTCACACGAATGACTAATCTGGAGCAACGCTCACAGCAAGTGCAACCACCACACAACGATGAGCGACACCTGCCACCAGCAAGGAGAGTGGATCCTAGATGTCAAAGGATCCAACAGCCTAATGAGGAGTTAGGAAACATTAAACTTGAATTCCTAACTTCTCTAGTGAGAAGGGACCAACAGAGTATATAGAATGGGAGAATGCTGTTGAAACACTTTTTGATTTAAAGCACTATTCTGATGTTACAAAAATTAGGCTAGTTGCTACATCTTTTAAGGGGTATGCAGTATCTTGGTGGAGAAAAAGAAATAGGGAGAGAGTTGCTGATTTTATTCCCTATGAATCTTGGGTTCAAGTAAGGGAAGATATGCGCCTAACCTTTCGCCCTAAATCTTTTTTCTATGATCTTGAAAGAAAATTGCAGGGAACTGTTCAGGGATCAATGTTGGTTGATGACTATCACCGAACAATCAATATTTTGCTTGAGCAAGGGGACATACATGAAGAAGAGGCAAGAACTATTGCTCGTTTCTTACATGGATTAAACAAAGAAATCCGGTGGGGAATGAGTACACAAAGATATGAAACCCTTGATGATGCCTTGTATGCTGCACGCGAATCTGAAGTAAAAATCAAAGAAATGAAGATGTACAAGCCCAACAATGGTGCATCAAGATGGAACAACACCCGTTCTACCCCTCAAAGGCGTGATGAACGCCCTCTTTCAAGAGATGATTCGCGAGACAAAGGTAAGGAAAAGGTAAGTGAGGCAGTGAGGCCTCAACGTGATAGAGAATTGATTTGTTATAGATGTAATGGAAGAGGCCATATGGCTCGTGATTGTCCTAACAAGAGGGTAGTTAAGATAACAAAACAATGTGAAAAGTTTGCCTCTTGTCTTGAATATGAGTCTGAGGATGAGGTTAGTGACCATTTGGAAACCCCCAATGAGCATGTTGAGGAGGAACCACCTTTACCTTTAGATTTTGATTATGAATATGCTGATAGTGAGTCTGTTCATACTCTTGTTGTTAAGAAGGTTTTGAATGTTCATCCTTTAAAAGAAGATGAGTCTCAAAGAGAAAATATATTTTATGCTAAAGGGTCAATTAGAGGGAATGCTTGTACTGTGATAATAGATTCTGGAAGTTGCACAAATGTGGCTAGTGCAGCTATGGTTAAATTTCTTCAATTACCTTTGCTTGATCACCCAAATCCATATCGTTTGCAATGGTTAACCGATGCAGGAGAAGTTAGAGTAACAAAGCAGGCTCTTATTCCTTTATCTATTAACAGTTACTCTGATGAAATTTTGTGTGATATTGTCCCAATGCAGGCAGCTCATGTGCTGTTAGGTAGACCGTGGCAATTTGATAGAAAAATCACTTTTGATGGAATGATGAACACTTATTTGTTTCACATAGATGGAGTTAGATATGTCTTGTCTCCTTTGACTCCTAAACAGGTGGAAGAAATACTATTGAAATCAAGGAAGGCATCAAAAGAGGCGAAATCAGTGCCATATTCCCCCTATCCAAAATCAAAGCCTCCACCTCCTCCAATATCCCTTTCTACGCCATTTTCATCTCAAAACCCAGCAAAGGAATCACCACATCAGCCCTCTTTTCTTGCAACAAAAAATGACATTAAGAAGGCAATAAGAAGGGGAGACACGTTTAACTTACTTGTCATTCATAAGCTTACCACTGATCTTGATTCTTCTCTTGTGTTACACTCTGAATCTTGTTTTCGTAATGCCTCTATTGATGAATTGCTTGCTGATTTTTCAGATTTATTCCCTAAAGAGATGCCAAAAGGATTGCCACCACTTAGAGGGATTGAGCATCAAATCGACTTTGTCCCTGGATCTACCTTGCCAAACCGACCAGCCTACAAAACCAATCCTGTGGAAGCAAAGGAAATCCAGAAACAGGTTGAAGAGCTTCTTGAAATTAGACATATTCGAGAAAGCTTGAGTCCGTGTGCCGTTTCAGTGCTCATTGTCTCAAAAAAAGACGGTACATGGAGAATGTGTGTTGATTGTCCTGCAATTAACAATATAACTATTAAGTATAGATTTCCTATTCCTCGACTTGATAATATGCTTGATGAACTTTATGGAGCTAAGTACTTTAGCAAGGTGGATTTGAAACGAGGATATCATCAAATCAGGATGAAAGAAGGTGATGAGTGGAAAACAGCCTTTAAAACAAAGCATGGTTTATATGAGTGGTTAGTCATGCCTTTTGGCTTAACTAATGCCCCTAGCACATTCATGAGGCTTATGAACCATGTTTTGAGGAAATTTATTGGTAATTTTGTTGTTGTTTACTTTGATGATATTCTGATTTATAGCAAGTCACAAGAAAAACACTTGAAACACCTTCGATTAGTTTTTCTTGAACTTAGGGCTGCACAGTTGTATGTCAATCTTGAGAAGTGTTCTTTTATGTCTGAGAGTGTTGAGTTTTTAGGATTTCATGTTAGTATAGAAGGTGTGACCATGGATTCAAAAAAGGTTGAAGCTATCACAAGTTGGCCAACGCCAACTAATGTATCTAACTTGCGTAGTTTTCTTGGACTGGCAGGTTTCTACAGAAAGTTTGTTCGTGATTTCAGCTCCATAGCAGCCCCTATGCATGAGTTGATTAAGAAAGACACCATCATCAAATGGGGGCCTAAACAGGAACAAGCTTTTGCTGCATTGAAAGAGAAACTCACCACCGCTCCTGTTCTAGTTTTGCCTTGTTTTGATAAAACTTTTGAACTAGAATGTGATGCTTCTGGCATTGGAATTGGTGCTGTACTGATGCAGGATAAACGCCCCATTGCCTATTTTAGTGAGAAGTTGGGTGGCGCAACACTCAACTATCCCACATATGATAAAAAACTTTATGCCATTATAAGAGCCTTGGAAACTTGGCAACATTATTTATGGTTTAAAGACTTTATTTTACACACTGATCATGAAGCCTTAAAACATTTGAAAGGCCAAGGTAAGTTGAATAAGAGACATGCTAAATGGCTCGAGTTCATTGAAGCTTTTCCTTATAAAATTGCCTACAAGAAAGGTACGGAAAACAAAGTGGCTGATGCTTTATCTAGGAGATATACTTTACTTGCTACTTTACATGCTAAGTTTCTTGGTTTTGATTTCATTAAGTCTCTCTATGCTAGTGATTCAGTGTTTGGCGAGATCTACACCTCTTGTGTACGATCTCCTTTGGGAAAGTTTTACTTGTCAGATGGGTTTTTGTTTAAGGAAAATAAAGTGTGCATTCCTAATTGTTCCTTGCGTGTGAGTTTGATCACTGAATCACATGGAGGTGGTCTTATGGGACACTTCGGTATTTCTAAAACCTATGATTTTTTGCATGAACACTTCTATTGGCCTAGAATGAAAAAAGACGTTGAGACTTTTGTGAATAATTGTACTACATGTCACCATGCTAAGTCCAAATCACTTCCCCAAGGGCTTTATACACCACTTTCTGTTCCTAGCGGCCCGTGGCTTGATATACACCACTTTCTGTTCCTAGCGGCCCGTGGCTTGATATTTCTATGGATTTTGTTCTAGGGTTACCTATGAGTTCTAAGAGAAAAGATTCTATTTTTGTTGTAGTTGATCGTTTTAGTAAGATGGCTAGATTTATTGCTTGCACCAAAACTGATGATGCAACTCATATTGCTAATCTTTTCTTTGCTGAGATTGTTAAATTGCTGGCATCCCTAAGACTATTGTTTCTGATAGAGATTCTAAATTTCTTAGCCACTTTTGGCGTGTTCTGTGGGCTAAAATTGGGACTAAGTTGCTATTTTCTACTACTTGTCATCCTCAAACTGATGGAAAAACAGAAGTAGTTAATAGAACCTTATCCCAATTACTTAGAAGTGTGATCTCTAAAAATCTAAAATCATGGGAAGAATGTTTGCCTCATGTTGAATTCGCTTATAATCGTGCAATACATTCAACCACTAACATGTCTCCTTTTGAAGTTGTGTACGGTTTCAATCCGTTATCTCCCATAGACTTACTTGCTTTGCCTTACAATCCGCAGGATAGCTTAGATGGAGAAGAACGTGCCAAGAAGATCAAGGAGATGCATGTTAAAATCAAAGAACAAATTGAGAAAAGGAACGAACAAGTAGCTGCTCGAGTGAACAAGACAAGGAAAAAGATCACATTCGAGCTTGGAGATTGGGTGTGGATTCACTTGCGCAAAGACCGTTTTCCCCGCGAAAGAAAGTCAAAGCTGAACCAACGTGGAGATGACCCATTTCAAGTTATATCACGGATTGGAGATAATGCATATAAGGTTGATCTTAGAGGAGAATACAATGTCTCTTCTACTTTCAATGTTTCAGACTTGTCTCCATATGATTGCACAGATTCGAGGACGAATCATTTTCAAGAAGGGGAGGATAATGCAACCCAAACTACTGAAGATCCATTAATAGTACCAGTTGGGCCAATCACAAGGTCTAAGTCCAAACAATTAAGACAACTCTTTATTGGTTATGTTCAAAAATGGTGGAAATCCAATTCAAGCCCAATTGCAAATGATGGCGAAGAACTCAAGGCTTTTTATAATTGTTTAAGTGCTGATTTTGGTGATTAAATTAGGCCCAAATCAGCCCTATTATTTTTTTGTCATCATTAATTTAAATTGTTTGGCATAAAAGAGAAAACACTAGTTGTATTTAGAAAGGATTCCTTAAATCCTTTTCTAAATAAAACTCTATTTACTTGTTTTCTAGATTAGGTTTAGGACTCTTTTTCCCATTGTATTTAGATTACAATGCTGCCCTATACCTATAAATGGGGCACATCCATATCAGTTTGGAGCAGGCTTTAATTCAATAAAATTCTTAAGTTTTTCTTTACACTTGTGTAAGAAACCTTATCGCTAATTGTGGACTCAATTAGTGGCTAGTCGTGGACTCGACTAGCAAATTGATTCGTGGACTCGAATCAATCTTACTTTCTTCAACTTTAGATTTAGGTTCGTGGACTCGTTCTTGAATCGAAGGAAACTAGATCCGACTCTAGTTGATTGAAGATTGCATCATCGAGGTACTTGAAGCTACAATGGGATTCTTCCAAGTCTTTGAGGATTCGAGACAAAGGGTTTCTCATGAGATTTAAGATATTTTGAGAGTATTCTTGGGACAATATTCCATCTTTATTTGAACCTTGGACTAGGTTCATATCAGAGCCGGCGGTCGAGCTGGAGGAAGTCGAGATCGACCCCGCGCGGCCTAAAAGACGGGTGCGGATTGGGGTCGGCCTCGAGGAGGGAATACGGATGGAGGTCATTCGGGTACTCCGCGAGAACCGCCTGGTCTTCGCATGGGGGCCAGAGGATATGCCTGGTGTAGACCATTCCATCATCTCACACAAGCTCGCGGTAGACCCCAGTCATCGACCTGTGATCCAGAAGAAGAGGTGCCTGGCTAATGATCGGCGCGAGTTCGTAAAAAAGGAGGTCGACACATTGCTGGCTGCAAGCCACATCCGAGAGGTAAAATATCCGGAATGGTTGGCCAACGTGGTATTAGTGCCAAAGCCACCCGCTTGAGAATGTGTGTCGACTACACCGACCTTAATAAGGCCTGCCCAAAGGATCCTTTCCCCTTGCCGAGAATCGACTAGTTGGTGGACGAAACAGCCGGGTCGGCCTTGTTAAGCTTCATGGATGCCTTCCGAGGGTATCACCAGATTTACATGCACAAGACCGACGAAGAAAAGACATCATTCATCACCCCAGATGGTGTGTACTGCTATCAAGTAATGCCCTTTGGCCTCAAGAATGCAAGGGCTACGTACACCAGGATGGTTATTCGCCTATTCCAGGACTTGCTTGGCAATCCATGGCAGCATACGTAGATGACATGTTAGTCAAGAGCCGGGAGGAATCCGGCCATGCCCAAGACTTGGCCGAATGCTTCTAGGTAATGCAAAAGTATAATTTGCGACTTAACCCCAAGAAGTGTGCCTTTGCTATGCAAGGAGGAAAATTTCTAGGATACCTGGTGAATAAGAAGGGCATCGAGCCGAATCCAGAGAAGGTCAGGGCCATCATGGACATGCAACCCCCTAGCACTATCAAAGACCTTCAAAGGCTGACTGGCCGGCCGGGCGCCCTTAGTCATTTCCTCAGCAAGTCAGCGGACAAGACGATACCTTTCTTTGAAGCTATGAAGAAAAATGAAGGCTTTGTATGGACCGGCGAGTGCCAGGAGTCATTCGAAGAGCTAAAAAGGTACCTATCGACACCCCCTGTGCTTTCCACACCACAAGTAGGCGAGCCGCTATATCTATACCTCGCCGCGCCAACCAGGGCTGTCAGCTTTGTACTCGTCCGAGAAGATGATCGGGTCCAACACCCGCTCTACTTTGTAAGCAGGTCTTTAAAATCTGCCGAGACGCGGTACACCCCCCGAGAAAAGGTGGTATATGCCTTGGTCGTCACTGTACGGAAACTAGCACCTTACTTCCAAGCGCACACCATCCAAGTCTTAACAGACCAGCCTCTGGGCGGTGTGCTGCGTAATCTCACGTCATCGGGAAGATTGGTGAAGTGGTCCGTAGAACTAACGCAATATGGAATCTAGTATCACCCACGGCCATCCATCAAAGGGACAAGCTTTGGCTGACTTCATAGTTGAGTGTATTGTCGGGGAGACTGAGAAGACCCCTTCCTCGCCAGACAAAAAGGGCGAGTGGTGGGAATTACATGCGGACGGAGCAACAAGTAGTCAGCATTGTAGGGTGGAGTCAAGCTAATCACCTCAGAAGGCTTTCGAATGTATCACGCCTTAGAATACCAATTCAAGGTTTCCAACAATGAGGCCGTGTTAGGCGGCATCCGACTCGCGAAGGCCCTAGGAGCCGACAAGCTGCGCATTAAGACCGACTCCCGCCTCGTGGTGGGGCAGGTTTCCAGAACTTGTAAGGCCAAGAGCTCTCACCTGTCGCAGTATAAAGAAAGGACTAAGAAGCTCTTACAGGGGTTTTCCGCCTTTGAAATCGAGCACATCCCAAGAGCAGAAAACACTGAGGCCGACATACTATCAAAAATTGCTTTGGGAGGAATACCTGATCATCTTTTAAGAATTTGCCAGAAGGAGGAAATACATCAGCCGAGCATTGGCGAGTCCGTGGACGAGTTCCAGTAAGTGACGGTCGGAAACTGGGATCGCGAGAACAATCCCGAGATGTTCTGGATCGAGGATATCTGGAACTATAAAGAGAAGGGAGAGCTGCCCGACAATCCTACCGTCGCCGCTCGGGTTCGCAGGAAGGCACCTTCCTTCGACATTATCGACGGTCGACTCTACAAATGATCGTTTGGAGGCCCTCTCTTAAGGTGTTTGCTGTGGCCGGAGGCCGAAAAGATAATGGACGAAGCACACTGGGGAATATGCGCGGCTCATCAAGGCGCCCACACCCTTGCACGAAAATTGGGCGTCCAAGGATATTAGTGGCCCACCATGATGAGAGACTGTGTGGATTGGATTGCCAAATGTGTCGTGTGCCCAAGCCTTCGCCCAGAAGGACACTCGGCCCGCCACGATCTACACCCCAGTGACAACCGCCATTTCATTCGCCAAGTGGGGGATCGATTTACTAGGCCCTCTACCACTGGCACCTGGACGATTCAAGTTTTGTGTGGTCGCCATCGACTATTTCACCAAGTGGGTGGAAGCCGAGCCGCTGGTGACGATCACTGAGTATCAGTGTCGGCGATTCCTATGGAAGATGGTGATCTGTCACTTTGGCCTTCCTGAACATCAGTGTAACACCCCGTGTTACGACCCCTAAAATCAAATTAATTAATTAATTACTCACCCTAAAAAGGGAATTAAAATCCATTAATTAACTACAAAGGGGTCCACCATAGTCCATGGACCCTTATCCCTAAAACCAACCCCTTAGTCCTATAAGGAATGGAAGTGGCAAGCCCATACCATTTAGACCCTAATTAGGACTCTTAGGTATATAAATAGGGACATAAGAGGCACCTAGAACTCACACCACAATAACTTTCACCATACAAGAATTCCCAAGAATTCCCATAGGAGAAATCAAGAAAGAAGAAATCTTAAAGAAAGACCCTTCATAGCCAAGGAAATTAGTTAAGGCTAAGAGGTAACCCATGTCTCAACAAAACCTATTTTCCTTGCTATATTCTCCTTCTTTGGCTCCCTCTATATACTTGTGTCTTGATGAATTTCTTTATGATATTCGTGATATAATCTTGTTGATTGATGTGATGATTTTATGTGTGATCTTGATGATCTTGATGTTAAAAAGAGGTTCTTGATATTTATGTGATGATTCTTGATAAATCTTGATGTTTCTTGGTGATAGAGATAAAATATGATTTTAATGATTTGGGTGGGATTAGAGCCCTAGGATGGATTGGGAATTTGTATTGTGTTGTTCCTGATTTATATTCGGGTGGGAGTTCGCATATTCGGGCGTTATTTATGTTTAGAAGTCATGTTAGGATGTATTCAATATGATCCTTGTTTTGATCCGTTAATTGCCTACGTGGTGTCGTTATTTACGTTTAAAAGTGTCTAAGCATGATTTCGGGTTCCACAAAGGATCCCGGGACGCGTATTTGCTAAAAGAGTCAGTGGGGGGTAGGGGTACCCGCCACCTACTCGCTGCCTGAGAATCACCGCCAGGCAACGGGCAGCCGGCGGGCAGACGCCTGACCGCCGGCCACCCGCTGCCCGAAAGGCCATCTCCGGCGGGTGACCCCCACCCACTGGCTACCCGCTGGTCCGTTACCCACCCCAGGTCCTCGGCTTCCCCGTTTGATGTTTCCCATTCCCTGTGGTGTCTCAACGGACCCCGTTTGTCATGCCTGTGTCTAGTTTAATGTTTCGGGTGCCATTCGTAGGAAAAAAGAGTCTTAGGAATTGCATGCTAGTGAATCGGTAACCCGTTGGCCTAGGAGAAGAATGCATGAACCCCTTAGGACTACTCTTAGTATGTGAATGATCACACGTAAGTTTAATTATACACCTCCCCCTTTCCCAATGTGCTAATATGTGTTACGATGTGTTATGTGATGCATGATTCCCCAATTTGGTTGCGATCAAACGTTTTACATGAGCTACGGTTCATTTTCCTGGCTGCGTCAGTGATTCACTTGTTGGGCTACAGCCCACGGGCCTCGTGTGCGGATGGTCCACCGACTGGACGCGCCAGCGGTGTGTAGGGCCGACCACCAGCCTGAGGAAGACCATAGTCCACCGAATGAGTGATCAGACGGTGTGTAGGGCTATGGTCGGCTACGATCCACCGAGTAAAGGGCCTGCGGTGTGTAGGGTCATAGTCTCTGAGGATATTCGCCCACCGACTGAGTCCCTCAGCGGTGTGTAGGGCTTGATCCACTACAATCCACCGACTGTGCTCGTCAACGGTGTGTGATGAGGACATAGGAGATCCGAGCATTCCAAAGCCAACAAATGACCCCTTACAAGTGCAAGAAAGGCCTTTAACAAGGGCCCGGGCAGCAAGATTGCGAGAAGCTATTTGCAGGTGGCTTGCAACGGTGGATTGGACTCCTTTTTATTTAACTCCAAATGAGGAAGACTACTTGGGCATGGTCAGTCAAGGAGAAACCCAAAGCTTTAATTTTCTTATAATTAAAGCCCAGGAGATACATGCTTAAATGCATTTGGAAGCCCATTTTGAGATATAATCTCATTATTTTTTTTATGGGAAGCCCAATGGACAGGATGTTGCAACAAGAAACAAACAATCCATGCTATGGAGAAATGAACAGTCCATCTAGGCCCAAATGGGATATGATCTCATTATTTCTTATTTTATGTTTTTTATTTGGTGGGTCAAAATGTATTAATTGAGGCCCTATTCCTTAACTTATGCTAAGTCAGCATTATAGATTTTAATTATTCATTAAGGAGACTTAATCTCCAAGGCCAAAGGAATACTCCTACAAAATAGCAAGAAGTGTGGATCATGAGCTTCATGCTACACCACTATGCCATGATCTCCTTCACAAATTGTAAGGTAGTTTTCTTCAATTTTCACACGTTCATGTACAGAGGTTATATATAAACCTCCAATTTCCTTTTACAAGGGCAAGCAATGAATGAATGAAATAGAGAGAACAGCTTGTTCTTTTCCTAACTCATGTGTTATATTGAGTTTACATCCGAAGCCGTGAGTTTTGTGCTGTGAGAGTGCATGACGTTAAGCTTCATCCTAATCCCCTTACTCGTGTGATTCGAGAATTCCATCTCTCCCGCATTGCCAACCAAACACTCCTTTCCACAGAAGCGACCCGCAACAAATTCGGCCAGGGGCAATTCATATCATCTTTTGGTATTCAGAGCAAGGTTAAACACCACGCAAACTCCAGGGTTTTTTTTTTTTTTTTCTCTTTTCCTGTTTATGTATAGCTTCTGCCCAGAAACAAAGAAAACACAAAAACTCAAGGTTAGCATCCGCTGAAAAAAAAAACGAAAAAAAAAATACGTGGTCTCTACCAAAACAAAAAAAAAAACGGAAAAAAATGCATGCATCTTATTAGAATTAATTTGTTATTCTCTTGGGAGAATCATTTGTTCTTTCTACAGCAATTGACATGTGAACACAACAAGTGTGCATGTGATTAGTGTCCATTATTAAAGCTACATGTCCTTGCATGCTATGTGCATAGAGAAAAGTATTGGGACAAGCTGCAATTCTTTTATTCCTTTTCTATGAAAACACTCCAGAATTTTCATTGTTTTTTTTTTTTGTCTATCTCCATAAATTTTTCCTCTTCAAATTCTGCCACACCATGAGGCTTAACTCGTACATGATTGCGGAGTGAAATTTGCGCACTTGCTATAACTCTACGAGTGCGGGTAGTACAAGCTGAAATTGAAAGAGTATTCTATGAGTGTTAAACACTAGTGAATCTTGAGCGACCAGAAATAGAGTGTGGGTGAGGGAGTGACGTGAGGTCTGTGTTTTGTTTTGTTTTTTTTTTTTTTTTTTAACGTGTCTTTTGCAGGTTGCATTATTCTGGTTTTTTATTTCCAAAAAAAAAAATGACAGAGCCCCGAAGATACTCAGGATGTGAGTACTATGATCAAGTCAATGCAACAACAATTTCAAAGGTTTAATGTTGTCTTTGATGAAATTAAAGACAAATTAGAACTTCAGGACGCTGCCATCCAAGAACTCCGAAACCAAGGAGGAAATGCGCCCGTACGGGAAGGGGGTAACGTTAGAGGTGGTAGGAGGGTTCATAGGGAGTTCCTGAGGGATGAGGAAGATGACTTTGAGGAGGAACCTGCTGACCGTGATTGTGGTAGAAGGAGAAATAGGAATGGGAGGGACTATGAAGAGGAAAATAATAACATAAGTGGTATTAAAATGCGAATCCCTTCTTTTCAAGGTAAAAATGATCCTGAGGCGTACTTAGATTGGGAAAAACGGGTAGAAAGGGTTTTTGATTGTCATCACTATTCTGAGCGCAAAAAGGTGAGTTTAGCCGTAGTTGAATTTAGGGACTACACGAACACTTGGTGGGACAATTTAGTGGCTAGTAGGCGGAGAAATAGGGAGGGAGCCATTGTGACTTGGCGTGAGATGAAAGTCGTTATGAGGAAGCGGTTCGTGCCAGGATGGTACCACCGCGAGCTTTACCAAAGACTCCAAAGCCTTTTACAAGGATCAATGACCGTTCATGAATACGAACAAGAATTGGAGACTTTGATGTCTCGATTGAGGCATGATGAAGATGAAGAAGCCAAGATGGCCCGTTTTGTGAAAGGCTTGAACCATGATATTGCTGATATTGTGGAGCGAACCCCTTATCTTGATTATGATGAACTTTTTCAGCTTGCAGTTAAAGTTGAAAAGCAACTACGGAGGAGGAAAACAGAACGCTACCAATTGAAAGAACAACCTAAGCAGTGGCGATCCGAAAAGGGAAGAGGGGATGGTAAAGGTGATACAAGCACAAGAGTGGAGGGTAGCTCGCGACGACCCTCCAATGATATTCCTAAGCAACCTCTAGAGCAAAAAGGCAAAGAGAAGGCCGAACCATCCACACGGAAGTTGCGGGATGTGAAATGCTATCGTTGTTTAGGATACGGTCATTATGCTTATGACTGTCCAAACAAGCGGACTATGGTGATGAAGTCAACTGGTGAGGTACAATCAGAATCCGATGAGGAGCAAATGGTGGAAGACACGTCCCTTGTTAGTGAGGACGAACAACAACCAGCCGAAGGAGAGCTCTTGGTAGCCCGTCGAGTGCTAAGTTCTCAAACTAAGGTTGAAGAAGACCAACGTGAAAACCTCTTCCATACACGTTGTGTTGTAAATGATAAAGTCTGCAGTCTCATTATAGACGGCGGTAGTTGCACGAATGTGGCTAGCACAGAAATGGTAGGAAAGCTCAATCTCAAAACTAGCAAACATCCGTGCCCGTACACTCTACAGTGGCTTAACAACTCGGGAGAACTCAAGGTGGATCGACAGGTAGTTATCTCATTTACAATTGGTAAGTACGAGGACCAAGTAATGTGCGATGTAGTGCCAATGGAGGCAGCCCACATTTTGCTTGGGAGACCATGGCAATTTGACAAAAAGGCACTACACAACGGGTACACTAATAAGTACTCCTTCGAGCACAAAGGTAGGAAAATTGTTTTGGCTCCGTTGAGTCCACAGTAGATAGTACATGACTTAAAGGGAAAGAGTGAAAAAAAAAAAGGAAAAAGCCGAAAAAGAAAAGAGCCACAAAAAAAATGTCAATCTGTTTTGCAAAAAAAAAAAAAACGGTAGAACGAGCCCTCAAAGCCGGTCGTCCAGTTTACCTGTTACTTTTAAAGAGTGACAAACATGTTGTGCCTAATTCTAGCCACCTTCCGGAGGCTATCTCTTCTTTATTGCGGGAATATGGCAAACTCTTTCCAAAAGAGATGCCAAAAGGCCTACCACCTATCCGGGGAATTGAGCACCATATTGACCTCGTCCTAGGAGCACCATTGCCGAACCGGCCAGCTTATAGATGCAACCCCGAAGAGACTAAAGAAATCCAGCGCCAAGTAGAAGAGCTGTTGGCAAAAGGACACATCCAGGAAAGTCTCAGCCCTTGTGCAGTTTCAGTGTTACTTGTGCCGATAAAGGATGGGAGCTGGCGGATGTGTGTGGACTGCAGAGCCATCAACCAAATCACGGTAAAGTATCGCTTCCCTATTCCTAGGTTAGATGACTTACTAGATGAATTGCATGGCTCTCGTGTTTTCTCTAAAGTTGACTTAAAATCTGGTTATCACCAAATCCGTATACGTGAAGGCGATGAGTAGAAAACAGCATTCAAGACCAAACAAGGTCTTTATGAATGGCTAGTTATGCCATTTGGCCTCACGAATGCACCCAGTACCTTCATGCGATTGATGAACCATGTTTTACGTGACTTTATTGGGAAATTTGTTGTGGTGTATTTTGATGACATATTGATATACAGCGTTAATTTAGAACAACATGTCTCTCATTTGCGAGCCTTGTTTGATGTTTTGCTTGAACATAAGTTGTATGCCAATTTTGAGAAATGTGAATTCTGCACAAATACTGTCAAATTTTTGGGGTATATTGTATGTGATGAGGGGATAAAAGTTGATACTGAAAAAATAAAAGCAATACAGGAATGGCCTACGCCTAAGTCTATTAGCGATGTTAGGAGTTTCCATGGACTTGCTAGCTTTTATCGACGATTTGTGAAAGATTTTAGTTCAATAGCTGCACCTCTCACTGAAATAATTAAAAAAAAATGTGGTCTTTAATTGGAGTGAAAAACAAGAGAAGGCATTTAACATTTTGAAAGAAAAATTGTGTTCTTCTCCTATTCTTGTGCTTCCTGACTTTAATGCTACGTTTGAGATTGATTGTGATGCATCGGGGTAGGTATAGGGGCTGTTTTAATGCAAGGGGGTAAACCTTTAGCATATTTTAGTGAAAAGTTGAATGGTGCTTGTTTGAACTATCCTACCTATGATAAAAAGATGTATGCTTTAGTGAGGTCTCTTGAGCACTGGGAACAATATCTGAGGCATAAAGAATTTGTGATACATACTGATCACGAGTCCCTTAAATACCTTCGAGGGCAAGGGAAGTTGAACCGTAGACATGCTAAGTGGGTTGAATACATTGACTCATTTCCGTATGTCGTCCGGTATAAAAAAGGAAAAGAAAATGTGGTAGCTGACGCATTGTCGCGAAGGTATGTTCTTGTTACTACTTTGCAAGCTAAATTCTTGGGGTTAGAACATATCAAAGCATTGTATGAGAATGACCATGATTTTTGCACTCCCTATTCTCTCTGTAAGTCACGCCCTGTAGGCAAATTTAGTATGCATGATGGTTATCTGTTTAAGGAAAACCGACTATGCATTCCTATTTGTTCTATGCGTGAGTTACTCGTAAAAGAATCGCATGGGGGAGGGTTAATGGGACACTTTGGTATTCAAAAAACTTATGACATCTTGCATGAGCATTTCTATTGGCCTAAAATGAAGCATGACGTTTATAAGTGCTGCACTCATTGTATTACTTGTAAACAAGCTGATATGAACCTAGTCCAAGATTCAAATAAGATGGAGTATTGCCCCAAGATTGCTCTCAATGTAAAGATAGAGATGGATCAAAATACCTTAAACCTCACGAGAAACCCTTTGTCTCGAATCCTCAAAGACTTGGAAGAATCCCATGTAGCTTCAAGTACCTCGATGTTGCAATCTTCAATCAACTAGAGTCGGATCTAGTTTCCTTCGATTAAAGAACGAGTCCACGAACCTAAATCTAAGGTTGAAGAAAGTAAGATTGATTCGAGTCCACGAATCAATTTGCTAGTCGAGTCCACGACTAGCCACTAATTGAGTCCACAATTAGCCATAAGGTTTCTTACACAAGTGTAAAGAAAAACTTAAGAATTTTATTGAATTAAAGCCTCCTCAAAATTGATATGGATGTGCCCTATTTATAGGTATAGGGCAACATTGTAATCTAAATACAATGGGAAAAAGAGTCCTAAACCTAATCTAGAAAACAAGTAAATAGAGTTTCATTCAGAAAGGGATTTAAGGAATCCTTTCTAAATACAAACTAGTGTTTTCTCTTTAATTCTAAACAATTTAAAATAAATGATGACCACAAATAATAAAGCTGATTTGGGCCTCGGATCTTGTGATTGGCCCAATTTGTAATCTTAATGGATCTTCATTATGTTGGGCCGCATCATCCTCCACTTCTTGAAAAATGATTCGAACACGAATCTTATAAACATTGTCTTCGATCCGTGACATCACTTGAAACGGGCCACTATAATACTTTCCACTATCGAATGGGATTATTATTGGAATTCCTTGATTTTTCCACCAATGATGCTTTAAGGATGTACTTTTTGGCCTTGTGATGAGCCCACTATAGACCCTTATTGGATTCCATGTGTGCTGGTTCCTATTATTCTCCCATTCTTGAAAAGGATTCGTCCTCGAATCCAAATCTTCAATGAAAGACAAAGTAGCAAGCTCACTTTCTGTTTTATCACGCTCATGGAACTTTTTCTTGGGATGCTTGACACGAGTCGCTCCAATCATCATCCTACAATCAACAAGTAAGGCAATTAAGTCTAATGACACATCATGGAATTTAAACATTCTGGATAGTAATAGATCAGCAAAATGAGATATATTAAATTTAGCCATCTTGTTTGAATTTCCAACAAGCACAACATCTTTCCTTCTAGAGCTTAAGGCTAAACCAAACACAAAATCCATGGAAATATCAAGTAATGTTTTAGATGTATTGTGGTGGTAAGTAGCACAATTATGAACATAAGATTCTACATCTTTTTTCTTCTTTGGCCAATGAAAATATCCATGCAAAACATCATCACTCTTTGGAAAACCAAAGTGTCCTTTATGTGAATCAACAATTAAACCATTGCCCAAAACAAAGCAAAAAGTGTCAATCCCATTGACTTTGAACCAAAACCCCTTGAGCAAGTAGTGTTTCACATAAGAAGTTTTCAAATGTGCCTTATAACTTTCCAGTGATTCCTTATCTCTATCAAACAAAGTTTTAGTAAAATCAAAATTAAGGAATCTTGGATGTATGGAGGCAAACAAATTTCTAACACATCTAGCAAGTACGTCATTAATAGAAACATGACAAAGAAATCTAGAGAATAATAATGCATGCTTTTGGAATAAAAGTGAGTATAAAGTGACTCACCTTCCTTTCTCTTGCATACTATCCTTTTTAGTTACCATGAGAGGTTGCACTTTGACACCTTGGGCTGGTCCTTTCCACTGTATCACTGATTGTGGTCCCTTTGTTTGGCTACAAATTGAGTTAGAGGATTGGAGTGGTGATTGCATTTCCAAACATGGAGGTTCCACTTTTCTCTCTATGATTTCTTCCTTCTTTGAGTCTGGTTTGAGAGCTTGCATCAATGTCAATTGAATTTCTTCAACTTGTTTAGGATACAAACGAGACAAGAAATATGTAACTCCATTCATGTGAAACACATAAGTGTTCCTCATTCCATCAGAACTTATTTTTCTGTTAAATTGCAATGGTCTACCTAACAAGATATGAGCAGCCTGCATTGGGATATTATCACACAAGATTTCATTAGAGTAACTGTTAATAGATAAAGGAATAAGATCCTGTTTGGTTACTCTAGCTTCTCCTACATCAGTTAACCATTGCAAACAATAAGGATTTGGATGATTAAGCAAAGGTAACTGGGGAAATTTAACCATAGTTGCACTAGCCACATTTGTGCAACTTCTAGAATCTATTACCATAGCACAAGCATTCTCTTTAATTGACCCTTTAGCACAAAATATATTTTCTCTTTGAGACTCATCTTCTTTTAAAGGGTGAACATTCAAAACCTCCTTGACAACAAGAGTATGACTAGACTCAGTATTAGCATATTTAGAATCAAAATCTAAAGGTATGAAAGGTTCTCCCTCAACATGTTCATTGGGGGTTTCAAAATGGTCACATACCTCATCCTCAGATTCAAGACAAGAAGTAAATATTTCAGATTGTGTTGTAATCTTAACTACCCTTTTGTTAGGGCAATCACGAGCTATGTGGCCTCTCTCATTACATCTATAACAAATCAATTCTCTATCATGTTGAGGCATCGCTGCCTCACTTACCTTTTCCTTACCTTTGTCTCGTGAATCATCTCTTGGAGGAGGATGTTCATCACGCTTTTGAGAGGTGGAATGAGTGTTGTTCCATCTCGATGCATCATTTTTGGACTTGTACATTTTCATCTTTGATTTTTACCTCAGATTCACGTGCAGCACACAAGGCATCATAAAGGGTGTCATATCTCTGAAAACTCATTCCACATCGAATTTCTAAGTTCAATCCATGTACGAAACGAGCAACAGTTTTTGTCTCTACTTCATGTATGTCTCTCTGTTTAAGCAAAATATTTATAGTTTGGTGGTACTCGTCAACTGACTTTGTTCCTTGCACCGTTCCCTGCAATTTTCTTTCAAGATCATACAAAAAAGATTTAGGACGAAAGGTTAGGCGCATATCTTCCCTCACTTGAACCCAAGATTCATAAGGAATAAAATTAGCAACTCTCTCTCTATTTCTTTTTCGCCACCAAGACAAAGCATACCCCTTAAAAGATGTAGCAACTAGCCTAATTTTTGTAAGATCAGAATAGTGCTTTGAATAAAAAAAAAAGTTTCAACAGCATTCTCCCATTCTATGTATTCGGTATGTCCTTTCTCACCGGTGGAGTTAGGAATTTCATATGTAATGTTTCCTAACTCCGTATTACGCTGCTGGATCCTTTGACATCTAGCATCCACTCTTCCTACTGGTGGCAGGTGTCGCTCATCATTGTGTGGTGGTTGCACTTGTTGTGAGCGTTGCTCCAAATTATTCATTCTTTTGAGTAACCTGTCTATTTTTTGTTCTAATTTCTGGGGTAGGTTTGGAACTTGTTCAGCCATCTATAGAGGGAAAAAAATCTAAAAACAAGAAGATGTGTGAGTAATCACGTTAGTGAAACCAAAAAGTTGGCTCGCACCCTCTCTATTCTAAGCTCACGGGTAAGAGGTGGATTATATGGCTCTAGGGTACACTACACTCTTACAAACACACACTCCACTCGTGTATCACTCCAAGTGGCAAATACTCTCACAAGCCTTTTTCCAAAAAGGAAAATTCTAGTCCGGAACTCAAGTTGATATGGATTCAACCTCAAAGTTCAAGAAAATGTACCTTGGAAAACTTCACAAGCCTTTGAGATTAAGGGTGTATCGCG